GCTAGGCTCAGGCAAGAAGAGGGTGCACAGATGGGCAAGTCCTAGGTCAAATGCAAGCAAGTGGCTTGGCTTGGCTCAAGTCATCACTGTGGTAATGATCTTAGGGAAAAGTTTGAAAATCATATTAAAGCTTTCTGTTTAATGAAATCTTGCCCTGCAAGCATTGCATACAGCAAAAAGGATATTGCACAATCATTTCTATATCTATTTTGCATTATATATATATATTTTTTATGTGCAAAGAGAAGTATTCAAGGTGATTGTAGGAGCCGGTGTTGTGGCATAGGAGGTAAAGCCGCTGCCTGCAGTGCCAGCATCCATACCAACAGAAACCAAAAAAAAAGCAGGTGTAGCCATATTAATATCATACAAAATAAACTTTAACACAAAAACTGTTAAGAGAGACAAAGAGGGACACTATATAATGATTAAGTGTTCAATTCAACAGGAAGATGTAACTATTATAAATGTATATGCACCTAATTACAGGGCACCAGTTTATTTAAAAGATATGTTAAGGGACTTAAAGGGAGACTTAGACCCCAATACAATAGTACTTTGGGGCTTCAATACTCCACTCTCAGAAATAGATCATCCGGACAGAAGATCAACAAGGAAACAGCAGATTTAATCGACACTATTGCCCAAATGGATCTAACAGATATCTACAGAACTTTCAATCCTACAGCTGCACATTTTACACTAGAAATTTATGTCTTCCTTTTAACTGACCTTGTGAGGGTGTTTGTGGATTCCAGTAGGGAAATGTTCCTGTCCTGTCCCCACACCTCCTCTGCTCCCGCTGCAGCTGACGTCCTGGGAACAGATACTGGCATGCTGAGCAGGGGCAAGAGGGCTGCTTCCTTTCTTGCTCCAGGGGCTATGTGTCCTGGCTCTTTCCTTCTGCCCTGTGTCCACTCAATCTCTTGCTTACGTATGGATGCTCTATGGCTGCATGGGGAGGTGCCCGAGTCCTTGGACCAACAGGTCAGGTGGTGAGGGGGAGAGGCCACCTGCCATAGGACCGCCTGGGAGAGGAGGGAGGTCAGTGGATCCTCATGGCCATGCCCAGCCTCCCTTCCACACAGCTGGGATTGGTTTCCAGTATAGAAGTCTCTCTGGTTTCCTCATGGAGAAAGTAAATGCACACATGATAGTAAAAACTAATGTTTCAGAAATGAATAAAGTGAAAGCTCAAAGTATTCCTAGCTCGCATTATGCCTATCACAAGAAAGAATCACTGTTAACAGTTTGGTGTGTGTCCTTCCTGATATTTTTGTATTTAAACATGTTTATTTTTATGTTGTCCGACACATTCATGTTGTCCTATAATCTGCTTTTTTTTTAAGATTTATTTATTTTACTTGAAAGGCAGAGTTACAGAGAGAGGGGAAAAAGGTCTTCCATCTGCTTCCACTCCCAAATGGCCTCAACAGCTGGAGCAAGGCCAGACCAAAGCCAGGAACCAGGAGCTTCATCCAGGTCTCCCATATGGGTACAGAGGCCCAAGCACTTGGGCCATCCTCCACTGCTTTCCCAGGCCATCAGCAGGAAGCTGGATAGGAAGTAGAGCAGCTGGTACTTGAACAAGGGCCCAAATGGGATGCCAGCACTGCAGGCTGCGCCTAAACCCACTATACCACAGCACCAGTCTACTTTGTTTTAAAATATAGATTTATTTATTCATTTATTTATTTATTTATTTATTTAAAAGACAGACTTGCAGAGTGGGGTTGTGTGTCTTACATCTAGTGGTTCACTCCCCATATGACTACAATAGCCAGGGCAGGGCCAAGCTAAAACCAGGAGCCGGTAGCTTCATCTGGGTCCCCCACATCAGGGCAGGGGCCCACACACTTGAGCCATCTTCCTCTGCTCTCCCAGGCCATTAGCAGGAAGGCAGATCAGAAGTGGAGCAGCACGGACACAAACCAGCACCCATATGGGATGCCAGCGTCACAGGCAGCAGCTTTGCCCGCTATGCTACAACACCAGCCTCCTGTGTTTTTATTTGAATATTGATCAAAGACACCTTTCAGGACAGCACAGAAATCCTTCTCAACCTCTCTGGGTATCCAGGGCCCATCGTATGAGTGCACATCCCTTCTCTTCCAGCCAGCCCCCAACCAGTGGACATCAGAGTTCTGCTGTAGTTTGTTGTAGTGATCAGGAAAACAAGGTCAGGATGCTGTCCCTTGAAAGCCGACGCTCAAGCAAGGCAAGAGGTGGCGCCAGGAAATCAGATTTATTCAAGATGCTGAAAATCTTGGGAGATGGGGAACTCAGCTGTCCCCACGAGCACCTCAGGTTTTCAGGAGAGCAGGAGAGCTCTTGAAAGGTGCAGAAACGGGAGATTTAGGGAGATCAGGAACAGGGGGACAAAGAACAGGACCAGCTGTATGTTGGCCTCTGGCCAGGCGAGAGGGGGCTGATCAGAGTCACGGTCATTGTCTCCAGTTTGTAGTCATGACTCCAGGCCTCTGTTCATGCTGACTGGGACCAGACTACTTTGCAGCTTTAGCTGGCCTGCTCTGGGCCAGTTTCTAGAATTTTCATGCAAGTGTTATCTGTTAAGTTATACATTAGTCTGAAAAGAATTGGAGAAAAAAAGAGCCAAAAGAAAGGATTTTAATGTTTCTACCATCAATGATAAATATTTCAGGAGATACATATGTTTACTGTGATTGGATTTCACACAATATATACATTTATCAACGCTTAACATGGTGCCCCATATGTGTGCACAATTTTTGTGTGTCAGTTAAAAAATTTTAAATATATATGAAAAGAGCTGACTTATGCAATTTCTACTCATGTATCAGAATACCATTAAAGTCTCCATCATGTATCTTTACAATTGCCCATACAGAACATTCTGTTTAAAGGGGCTTACTTTAAAAATAAAGAAAGAACAAGTAAGACAAGTGCAATGCAAATAAAGTAGGGTGTGCCATTAATAAAACATTTTTTTAAATTAGTCTGATTATTGGCAAAGCCAGCATTTACCTTCAGTTCAGCAAAATGAAGACATGGAGCTGCTGTGACAGCAGTGCACTTTTCTGCAGTGCACATCCCTACATACACCTCCCTGTGTCAAATTGTTCCTAGAACGGTATTTGGGGCCTAACATCTTCCTTTTTTTTTTTTTTGACAGGCAGAGTAGACAATGAGAGAGAGAGAAAGGTCTTCCTTTTGCCGTTGGTTCACCCTCCAATGGCCGCCACGGCTGGCGCGCTGCAGCCGGCACACTGCGCTGAGCCAAAGGCAGGAGCCAGATGCTTCTCCTGGTCTCCCATGGGGTGCAGGGCCCAAGCACTTGGGCCATCCTCCACTGCCTTCCCGGGCCACAGCAGAGAGCTGGCCTGGAAGAGGGGCAACTGGGACAGAATCCGTCGCCCCGACCAGGACTAGAACCCGGGGTGCTGGCGCTGCAGGTGGAGGATTAGCCTATTTAGTCGTGGCGCCGACCTAACATCTTCCATTTTTAATGCGTTTCTGTATACAGCAAGGTGCCCTTAGCCATCCTTCATGGAAACACAAGCCCGCAGGGACCAGTGTCCCTCACTGGGTGTGCCCCCCCTGGAAACCGCACCTCTGCTCCTGCGGGAAACTCAGTCCTCAGGTGTGTCTGTTGCTGATTCCTCTGGTTGCAGTTGAACTCATTATTTCAATTGTGCGATGTAGTTGGCATACAGAGTTGAAGAAGTATGCAAAAATTATAAAAAAAAAAGTTCAAGGTATATTTTTTTCTCATTCTTAACTTGAGTTAAAAACATTGTAATGGCTGACAACCTATCCTAGTGATACCAGTTACACTGGCTTCCCCCAGCCTCTAAACTTCATACAGCATGTTTGGGAGTTATAGCCACTCTTGATCCTCCTTGCCAGTATCAGCTCTGGGAAAGCATCCCACAGAGGCTTGGGTGGTTTGTCCGTTGGGTTGTCTTTTCTCCTTGGGATGACCTCAGAGCGAGGCCTGTCCAGTGTAATCTACATGAATACAGGTTGGTTCTGAGCCCTCCTCTCAGCCCCACCCACCACTGCAAGCCCTTGCAAAGCCCCACCCACCACAGACACGCCCTGCTCAGCCTCATCTTAGAGCAAGAGGACCTCTGGAAAGCACAGCTCTGCCTGGGAAGCGTCTGGCCACTTTCTAACCTAGTCGCATGTTAGAAAGGATGCTGCAGCCCCTCTGAGATGCACAGCCCTCTATGAGACCATCGTGGGTACTTGATAACTGTTGGGTGACTGGATGCACGGGGGATGGCATTACTGCAGCTTGGCCGTACAGGTGTCTGATGAAGTCAGAATTCATTAAGAATGAACTCAGAGGTGGACATTTGGGTGCAGTAGCTAAGGAGCCACCTGGGATGCCCACACACCGCACCAGAATGCCTGGTTTTGAGTCCCAGCTCCCTTCCCAATTCTAGCTTCCGGCTAATGCGCCCTGAGAAGCCAGACCTGAGAAGCAAGTAGTGATTCCGGTCGTTGAGTCCCTATCTCCAACCTGGGAGACTGGATTGAGTCCTGGCTCCTGGCTTTAGCCTGGCCCAGCCCCAGTTGTTGCAGGCTTTGGGGGAGTGAATCAATAAATAGATTTCTCTGGTGCTCACTTGCTGTGTGTATGTGTGTGTGTGTCTGTCTGATTCTCTGCCTCTCAAGTAAAATATTTAAAAACAAGCGTAACTCACACTGAATTCATTCAACAAACGTTTATCAAGGGCTGGCTGGTTGCTGCTGGGGCCAGCACCAGGCCCAGTGTCAGAACTGCTCTTGTGATTGAACTGATTGTGATTGAACTTGGTGTCGTGGGCCGGAGCAGAGACGCAGCTCACTCCACAAAGCAGTCGCTCTCAAGGGGCTCGGTCCATGTGCACGTGGCCAGGGGACCAGGATGTTGGGAGGACATAAGCAAGTGTTCTACGTCTGCCTAAACCGTAGGCACCTGACAGCACACTGCAGCAACCACAGGCATCTCACTGCTCTGCCTTCTCTTCTAGGATATCAACGAGTGTATTCTTGAAAACTATCCGGAATGTTCCAACCCCAGGTTATTTTACATCATCCCATACTTCTGTGGACAGCATCCCAGGTGCAGGTAAGGACTGAGCAGGCTCAGCCCTGCCCTCTTCTCACTGGGTCTGACACAGGAAATTCATACCCAGCATTCCACTGTGTGGTGCTCCTGAGACATCCCTAGCAGAAAGAGAGGCACGTGCTTTCCAGGGGTCACCTGTCGGCTTTGGTTCAGTGCATGACCTTCATCAGGAAGTAGCTTACGTGGGTCGTTGGGGCCCTCAGGGTGTGGTCTGCTCACCTCCTGCATCACCATCCCTGCGGAACATGTTGGGGGCCCCTAAGTCTCTGAGATGGGCACGGGCATTTGGGGCAACCTCCCAGGGGTCCCACGTGGCTGCAGTTGAAATCCCCTGTGTTAGACAAATGTCTGAAACCCAGACAAGAAATGGCAGCAACAACACATCGCTAGCTTTGCATGGTGGAAAACAAAGAATGTTCCAGAAGTACATTTTCTCCTAGGGAAACGTTGATTAGCGGGTGGTTGTGTGCTGAAGAGGCCGGGGCGCAGCTGTGTAAGCTGCAGCACCCGCTGTGCGTGCTTCTCTGCGCCGTGAGCTCAGTTCATGATCAGGTGCGCTGTGGCCAGTGCTGTTTTGTTTCGCTTACCCGAACACAAGAGCTTGCTTGTGGCCCCAACTCTGGGACAGGGGCGATCAGTCTTCTGCTTCATCACAGACTTCCTGAGTTCAGGCAGCTTCCCCCCTCCCTACCCTTGGCCCCTAATAAATACCTCCTGGTTCACGTTCAGTGCGTCAGATACTGGAAAGGTATGAAGCCAGATGACTCTTGCCAATCACAATGAAGAGATTTATTCTAAGAAGCCTGATTCTAACTCCCTGAAGTATTTCTGGAATCTTACATGCCCACTCGTGATGCCGGAGCTCGGATCCCCTACGGTGATTTTCAGAACTCTTCCCAAATGTCACCTGGTTCAGCCTTTGCAACAGTGCTTTGAGCCTGGCAAGGGTGATTCCTACCATTTCCCAAAAAAAGAACCTTGGCTGAGCCAAATTCTACCAGACGGTAAAAGGCTGCCCAGCCGGGAGCCCCGCTCCTGAGGTTCTGGTTCTCACTCACAGAATGTTGGCTAAGAGATTGAGATTGAGAGAAGGCGATTACACTGCTCCCTTCTGTAATTCAATAAATTGTGGCAAAAAAAGACTTCTCTTTATATGATCTCTCCTAATATGATCAGCAGGCATGACCAGCCGAGTTGATCTCCACAGCACTGCTCTGCACTGAGTTGCAGATTTCAGACCTTACCTATTTGATGGCGTGGTCTGATCCTCCTGTAATTAAATAGCCCTTCTGGCCAGCGCCACGGCTCACTAGGCTAATCCTCTGCCTGCGGCGCCGGCACCCCAGGTTCTAGTCCTGGTCGGGGCGCTGGATTCTTTCCGGTTGCTCCTCTTCCAGGCCAGCTCTCTGCTGTGGCCCAGGAAGGCAGTGGAGGATGGCCCAAGTGCTTGGGCCCTGCACCCACATGGGAGACCAGGAGGAAGCACCTGGCTCCTGGCTTCAGATAGGCGCAGTGTGCCGGCCGTGGCAGCCATTCGGGGGGTGAACCAACAGAAGGAAGACTTTTCTCTCTGTCTCTTGCTCGCTCACTGTCTAACTCTGCCTGTCAAAAAAAAAAAAAAAAATAGCCCTTCTGTAACCACCCTTTGATCCATGCCTATTAGGTCCTAACAGCCTCGGCCTGTGTTCATCTTTCAGCAAATACTGAGGCAGGGCTCCCCAAGTTCAAGGCCCTGGACGGGGCGCTATGCACAGGTGAGGGTGACAAGAGGAGACCTGAGCTAGAGGAACCAGGGATGGCTCTGGACAAGGCCATACCTGCCTTTGTCCCTGAAGGAACTCGGAGGTGGACTGGCACAGTCACTGTGGGAGGGCAGAGGGATAAACTCGGCAGTGCCTGCTGCAGCTGCATTTCAAAAGTGAATCGCCGGTTTGAAATAATTTTTGTCTCCACAAAGGGAGCCTGGCGAGTGGGCCCTTGAACGCGCGAAGCTGAACGTGAATGAAAACTTCCTGCTCGTGGGGATCCTCGAAGAGTTGGAAGATGTGCTGCTTTTACTGGAAAGATTTTTACCTCATTACTTCAAGGGTGTGCTCAGCATCTACAAAGACCCAGGTAAGTGCCGTTGGCAGCGAGCTCTGCTCCAAGGCAGGTGTGTCTCGGGGCTGGCCTCCCTCCAGACACACTCAGGAATGACAGGAGTGAACCGATGTCTTCTGTTCCCGAACTCAGCTTAGAGAGGAAGGTGAGAGGCGCCAGGTGTGAATTTCAACACCTTGAACTTGGAGCCCAACACAAACCTCCGGGCGGTGAAGGTGTGATGCTTTGGTTTCTCTCCAGAGAGACTGAAATTGTCAGTGTTCCCTGCCTTCCTTGTCCTGGGCGTGTTGCTGGGGTGACCGAATGCCCACGTGCTCTGCACGCGAGTCCCTTGATGGAAATGTCTGTGAGTGTGCGTGAGATCTACCTGCGTGGACAGGGAGCTCTGGCCTGGCTGGCACACCACTCGAGAAAAGCACCTGGCGTAAAATTCCAGCAGCATAACAGATTGGAGCCGCAAATGGAAAACACGATTGCGGTTTCATTGCAATGACCTGAGTTAGAAGCAAGTCTTACAAGGCGGGGAAGCAGTGACAAGGGCTGCCCATCACCCCATGGCACCCATCACTGCTTTCAGAAGTCTGCGTCTATTCCTTCGTGTTATTATTTTATCTTGAGGGTAAAGCAATATTGCTTATTTCTTTGCAACGTCCTCTAATGCCCTGCTGCCCTAACAGGCCTGCGTACTTACTCACCCATCTATGACTGGGTTTTTGTTGTTGTTTAGAGAAGGAGGAGAGCCGGCGCCGCGGCTCACTAGGCTAATCCTCCACCTAGCAGTGCCGGCACACCGGGTTCTAGTCCTGGTCGGGGCGCCGGATTCTGTCCCAGTTGCCCCTCTTCCAGGCCAGCTCTCTGCTGTGGCCCGGGAGTGCAGTGGAGGATGGCCCAAGTGCTTGGGGCCCTGCACCCCATGGGAGACCAGGAGAAGTACCTGGCTCCTGCCATCGGATCAGTGCGGTGCACCGGCCGCAGCGTGCCAGCCGTGGTGGCCATTGGAGGGTGAACCAACGGCAAAGGAAGACCTTTCTCTCTGTCTCTCTCTCTCACTGTCCACTCTGCCTGTCAAAAAAAAAAAAAAAATAGAGAAGGAGGAGAGCACTCTGCCTCGCAGACATAAGGGGCAGGGGCAGGCATTGGGTACAGTGGTTAAAATGTCACTTGGGGTGCTCGCATCCCAAATCGGGGTGCCCCAGTTCAAGTCTCAGCTCTGCTCCCACTTCCAGCTTTCTGCTAATGGGCACCCTGGAAGGCAGCAGGTGGCCGAGCCAGCCATACGGAAGACCTGGCTCAAGTTCCTGGCTTCAGGCTTCAGCTTGGCCCAGCCCCAGCTGTTGCTGGTATTTGGGGAGTGAACTAGCACGTGGGAGATCTTTGTCTCTCTCTGCACCCCTTCAAACACATGAAATGAATGAAAATTAGTTTAAAAAAATAGAAATAAAGGACAGACGAAAGACGATTACAGCCAACAGCTAGCCAGGGACCTGGAGCCACATCTGCGCATTGGCAGGTCCTGGAGCCCAGGGAGCTGCTCTTAGCCCAGGGGAGCCTGGCTCTGCTTTCTCAGGGGGCCCTGCCCCCATCAGGGATGTGCTGGAAGATAAAACCGACTTCCCTACCTGCAGGAGCCAGCCCGGAAACCCAGAGCGGGCCCTGCAGGTGCCGCTCCTGGGCAGGAAGTGTGGTTTGAGGAGCTCAGAGCGTAATAAACCTGAAATAGTTGGTTTTTGAAACTAGAGCTTCCTTTGCCCTTTCCAGTGCAGGCGATTGAAAGAATCAGCAGAATTCGCACTGAAGACTCTCACAGCCCCGCCCCGAAGGACTGTCGGTCCATCAGTGTCAGTTCTGCTCTAAGGCCACGTTATTCATTGCTGTCTTCTCTCCCATGGCTTTGTCCTGTTGTGCATGCGTGTGCATGTGTGTGTGTGACACACACTGTGAGATGAAGAACCACTAGAATCCCGGTGACACGCTGTCATTCCAGAAATCAAACAGACTCTTGCCCCCCACATTCAGGAATCCGGTAGGTGGGGCCACATCTCACATCATCACCCTTCCTGGGATCAGGAACTAATGCCACGGTGTCACCGGCGGTCACCAGCTGGCCTCGATTCTCTCTCGCCAATAGAGTAATGAATTATAGTTTAGGGAGACAGAAGCAGGGATGGCAAAGCCAAAGTATGTTACAGTACATTCCACGGGAGGAACGGGCCAGTGGAGAGAGCACGTGGCACCCTTGCTTCCCGGTTTGGGGCTTTGATGACTAACATATGAGAGGCGTTGACTGGTGATGTGGCCTGGTGCTCACTGGGCTGGTTATTGCTGATATGGGGACAAGAACTTGGAAGTGAGTGCACAGCAAACCGCACCCAACCCTGGGTACAAGTTTGAATTCCAAGTGTGAGAACCAAGGCCCAAACAGGCTTCAAGCAGTCAGAGCACCCTTGCTGCTAAAACACATAGTCTCATTGTTTTGTGAAATGACTCATCTCTATCACATTTTCTCATGACTTATCACCTTTTAAAGATGAGAAGCGGAAACCAGCTCAGAGAAGTAGAAAGCTGGTCCACAGGCATCCCCCAAAATGTGGGCGGGGCAAGAGGCCCACACTGCTGAGCCGTGAGCCTTGATGGGTTCATGAATGCCTTTTCTCCCTCACTCTTAAAAACTGCCAGACTGTGAGTTAGCAAAACGTTGAATGTTTAGGAGCTAAAGTTGCAGTGTTTGTTAAAAGCCTAAATAAATAAGCAAATTAATCAAGGATGAAGAACAGTGAATATTTGTGATAGGAACAGCCATTAAGAACCTCCCGCCATCATATACACCTTGACTTGGCAAATAACCAAGCTGTTCTGGTTCAATTGCACCACCTAGCAGCCAAACGTGGAACTGTGTGACCTACTATACTTCAAATACTTGCCATAGCTAGCAGTGTATTAGTAATCATTCCCAACTTTCTTTCCATCTCACATGTAAACACTAGAGCCATGCCTGGGAATTTTCTAGAAGTTTGTGGGCTCCCTTGAGAACCTAGTTCTGCTGTGGTCCCGCCATGGACCGGGGAAGATGCAGGCTTTGGTGGATGATCTTTAAGTTCTGAAGTATTTTTTGACCCTAAAGGGTCACACAGAAGGTTATCAGGACCACTTGCCCCATTTGTGGATAACCAAAACAGTTATGGGGTGCATCCCCCCCCCCAGTAAGCCTGGATGGCTGTTGCCACCTGGAGGACAGAGAGAGCCGGGGAGAGAGTTCATTGCTCAGAACTCCCCCGTCTCTATGGCTGCTGACGCTGCCATGACTGTGTTCACGTTGGGCTCTCACCCTCAGGTCACGACTGCCAGCCCTCTCTCTCCAGGGCCGGCAGATGCACCTAGGACCTCAGGGCTATGCAGCCTCTGTGGGAGGAACAGAAGAGAGGGAGGGGAGAACTTTAGCTGGTTTCATAAGTAAAGGCTGATGCTCAACTCAATTTTGTGCACCTTTGAGAAATAATATATCTGCATTATTGATTTGGAGGACGAGGGCGCTGTTCTGGTCAGTGAGTTAACTGGGGATATTATGACCCTGACACACTCAAAAGCTGAAAATCGCACATAACACAAGCCTGTGGGCTTTATTAAGTCATGTTTTTATGCCTGAATTCCTATCACACAGATCAGGGCGTTGAGACTTTAAATGAAACTCACTATTGAAATGTGATTGGGGCCAGTTACCCTTAACTAGTGCTGAATTTTTGCGGAATGTCCAGGGGTGCCCAAAGATGAAATGAAGTGTTTATAAGACCCCAGAGACTCAGTTCTTGAAATACAGTTTGTTTTCCATAGGCAGAGCGCTGTTACCAACTTAACCTCTGTCCAGCAGGTGGCAGCATCCCTCCATTTTTTCGAGGAAGTGACTGGTTTCCAAATAAAAGTTTGCGACTGGAGTTAGGAGTTTATGCGATATTTGAACACAGATGTACAATTATGTCCAATCTGGGGCCTAAAAATGGAATCTTGAGGGTCATAAGGAGTCCGAGTTCTGTTGATTGCCGTGGTCCAAACTGCATTTTGCAAGTGCCCCTGTGATGGGGGGATGCAAGGCAGAGTTTTACAGCCTAGTGAGTTTACGTGAGTTAAAATATATAGCTATGTAAACTACTAACTCTGCTTTCACATTTAAAAAAGTCCATCCTACAAAGCCTGAATTCAGCAAGTGCCGCCTTTCATTTTTCATTCCCGTTTTTTTTCCCACTTCCCATTGCTTTTGTGCTACAAACTCAGAAGTCTTCAGGAACCTCAAAGATTTCATAATGGGCAGGAGCAATTCAATTGAAGTGTCTGTCTACAGAAAGCAGTGAATCTGGTTAAGTGACTCACTCGTTGTTTGTTAAAATCACGCCCTCACTAAACTATTGGTTTGTGTACCATCAGTATTCTCCATAAAGACTTCGTTATAAGCAGGCATATGCTTGTAACATAGCTGAAGCTAAAAGCTTAAAAAAACAATGTCTGTAGATTATCTCTATTCAGTGTCTGGCCTTCTCACCAAGAAACACGATTCAGAATCATCATAGATCCTCGGTGCACTGACCCAGGCCAGTGTATGGTCACCCACACAGAAGAACACGCTTCTGCCCATGGAGCTGCTTGACAACACCTGGTCAGAAAAGGGCAGGTGCAAAACGGGGCACTAGAACTTTAAAGAAAGGTGTCAGAAACTGCAAGCTGAAGGTAAATAGCTGTTTAGAGAAGAGCTGTTGGGCATAACGCAAACACCCCTGTAAGTGAACTCCTGAACGCCTCGGGGTTTTCGAGAACATTTGTAACCATAGGCTGACAGCTCTGCTCAGCTTCCGGAAGCATCACCTTCTCACACGGCCGGAGCCTCTGGACATGTGTAATGTATTTTATGGAAGCTTAAATTGCAGCATAAAACATATGCTTTTGCCCCACTTCGGCTTTTACTGTTTGTTTTATTGGAAATAATAATTGCCTTGAATTGTACTATTTTTAAACCCACTTTTTACTTG